ATGCATTATAATCATCAAAATCATTTTTTTTCCTTTTTAAAGTATATGAAAGCATTCCGAAATTGTACTGATCATTCAACCCGACAGTGCTATGCATGTTTTCTGACAGGGACAAAATCATCGAAATAATCAATCAAATATCGAAATAATTGAAACTTTCCATAAACCCAACTTTCGCTTGTGGTTCATCGCAAATTTCACGACGTCAACAATCATTTGTACTAATCATAAACATGCCTAGCACTGTTCGGTTAGATAAATAAAACAACATTAGAATGTTTTCATTAACTTCGAAGGAAGAAACATGATTTTAAAAGCAGCGTCCGGGCAAGATTTCGGATAGAATTTTTCTCGCTTACCTGGGCACGGGCTTTTCCAGAAGTTCTTAATTTGAATTTTACTCCTGCCGCCAAGGTTAAGACGCAGAGTCTTTGTGGGACCATACTTCTTGACTGTGTGCAGTATGCGCATCTGGCTTATCGAATTAACTCGTCCCCGGTAGCCGGGGCGTTCCGTCGCCATTTCTAAAGCTGTTTTCTCGCTTCATAAGCAAATTGGTGCATTGCCATATGGGCAACAGCTTTACCAGGACGGACGCCCCTGTACTCTACATTTTCATTTTTGCCCGGACGCTGCCTATAAGGAAAAGACGTTCGGCCAGAGGGGATCATGATGGGTTATAGAAAAAAGCTGGGAAAAGCGGCTTGTACAACTTCTCGCTCCAGTTTAATACGTTTATATAGAGGGTAGTAGAAGATTTGCGGATGGATAGACAACGAGAAATCCAGACGTCCAGAGCTCTAGATTGTGAAACCTTCTTTCAAGCTGCATTGCCCTCGCCAGCGGAGATGGTGATGCATGCGGCCCAACAAAATTTATGCTTCCCGGTGGTTGCTCTATAGTTTCTTTGTGAACAAGACAAACCACCCCCGAAACACATGTATACTGCTGGTTTTCCATAGAGTATTAAATAGCACACATAACGATAAAGAGCTGTGCAAATTTAGAAGCTATAAAAATATTGGTTTATACTATGCATAGTGGGAAGAGACTTCTACACCCAACGATTAGTCAATAAAAAGACATGAGACAATGTGCTCTCCCACAAACTCCAGATGCTTCTCTGGGGCAGTGCCTGAATAAATTTACTGATCTGCTATTTGCTTTACAACATAAGTACGAGATTTAAATGGACAGAGAGTTCACAACTTCATTTTCACTCCCAGAATGGGTTTCCATCTCGTATTCCTTCTTTACACCATATCCACGAGAACAAATGCTAACTTAACGGAGACGATCCAACACTTAGATGAAATTCCTACGGTAAGCAATTTCAACATCAATACCTTTTTCAATCCTCTCCCAAGTCAAAGTATTCATTCAGCACCTGAATAAACATGAGCTTGTCTTCGAGCGCCAAAGGCTTGAAGAGCTTGATGGCGACATACGCAGAAGCTTACAGCTTACACGACAGCAACAAGAGACTTTGGAAACACTACAAAGAGTAAGCGAATTCCTTTCGGAAGGAGACTGTAGTCCTATCAAAGAGTTTTAATGACAGAGGCTACCAGTGGCGGAGATAACAAATTACAAAGCAATGGGACTCACTGTGCCGCAAATTAACAAACGAGCGAGAATAGGGGACTTGTTGTATCAGAGTGACATGCTGTTATCACGGTATGAGCTGCAGCTCGACCGAAAACCAAGGGGACTATTGATTCATTCTCAGGGAGCAATGGAACGAAGTTATCGATGACATCGAAACCACTGCAGGCGGTCGAAAGAAACGTCAAGCCTACAATGCTAAAGTTCGTCCCGATGCAATTTGGCCCAATGCCCGTGTGTATTACTCATACCATCGCGATACAAGTGAGATCGAGTTTATATTGTTATTTTACAGAAAATTTCAAAATTTGATGACTATACACGTTATCATTTTTTTACAAAAGCACACTTCGATTTAGATGCAACGGTGCAAGAAGTATTCGAAAAAGGATTTCGAGAATGGCAGGAGAACACTTGCCTCGAATTCGTCAAAGACGACTATGGTAGTTACAGACGGGAGATGGCTGCATTCATTCTGATTACTGTCTTTTAGCATTTGATCGTCTGGAAATTACTGTTGAGGACGATGGCTGCTGGTCAACCGTGGGATATAGACGACGTAAACAGCAACTCAATCTAGGCGAGGGATGCTGGGAGGTATGACAAACAGATTATGACCTTACTTTAACACTGATGAGCTCAACTGGTCTCTTCTCAAACAAAACTTCTACGGACTAGTTTCGAACAGCGAAATGAACTACTTTTTTGGGAAATATGATTACTGGTATTTGTAGTTATGGGCCCTAGAAGATGTACGATGTAAGAAAGCTACAAAGCTTTTCTCAAACCATACATTTTAAATATGAGTATGATATTATATTTACGACGCGTAGACGAACAAACTCTGCCGTAGGACGGCGCCGCATAGTACTGATCTTCCCACGGTATGCTAAGCATGTGCAAAGGAGCAGTAGTCCGCAGAGTTGGCCCTCTTTGGCTGAGTTCTTTCCCTTACCTAAGTACGATCTATCTCAACTGCGATGTCCTTCAGGCGGCGCGTCCATCGCGGTGACTCGCGCGTGTTGCGGGCATTTTATTGAATTAAATAGAGAAGAATATCGTTTTTCCCAAATCGTTTTCGAAAGTCTTAGAAATTCTTATTTGCTCCTGCATGTAACAGATACATGCACTCAATCATATACAGTCTGCGTCAACGACGTGCACTGCTCCCCTTCCTATTAGCTAAGCGCAGCCCTAACCCCGTGCCGCGTTGGAGAGCTTGCGTCATGAGCCCTCAATCTGCCGAACCGACTGTGCAATGCCCACGCGCCGCGGATGCGTAGTCGCTACGGTAAAGGAAGCACGTGGTCGTCGCGAATTGTATGTACATGCAAAATCATATCATGTAAACATACACAGATCGGCACAGTCGTACATGAAATAGGACATATTCTTGGCTTTCATCACACGCACGTAAGAATCGATCGTAACAAATATGTTATCATCAACATAGCAGTTGTTGAGGTAAGAAAGTTCTTATAATTTTGAAATCCAACCGGAGTGGTTTGTTCTAGATCGACGAAACGGAACAATTTACCATGGAAACCCAATTCACAAATGAAAACTATGGAATTCCATACGATTTCGGCAGCGTAATGCACTACTCGGCGAGAAGGTATGTCTCCTTACGCTGAACCATCGAGATAGTAAATTTGTTGCAGCTTTGGAGTTAAAAATAAAATCGTGATAATGCCTGCCGATGAGAACTACATAGAGACTATGGGTTCACCATTCGTTTCATTCTATGATCTGCTCATGATGAATATCCTCTACAAATGTCTTGGTATGCGTATAAGGAGAGTATTCTATCTGACAAATGAGATGAGATACTGTTCAGACAGATGCAAAGGAAAACCCGACTTGGTTAGATGCAAAATGGGAGGTTTCCCAAATCCTAGAGATTGCTCAAAGTGCGTTTGTCCCTCAGGATATGGAGGCAGGCTATGCGATAAACTGGTAAGACCTTCTGATAAGCTTGTCCACTTCCTTACTCAAAGAAAACATAGCCACCTGGTTGCGGGAAAATACTGGAAGCTACCACTTCTTGGCAGTACTTGAATACAACCACCGGGTATGAAGGAGTAACAAGAACCGACCAGAAAGTGGATTTCAAAAAATGTCATTACTGGATACAGGTTTTGATAAATTGAAATATCTGTAAAGCAGAGCACATTGCTTCCTTACAGGCTCCTGAGAAAAGGAAAATAGAAATAAGGATTATGCACTATTCTCCGGATGCGCCTAGCGAAGGATGCTTCTTTGGAGGATTTGAGATCAAATCACAAAGAGATCAAGGCATGACTGGTTATAGGTGACTTCTATACATCTTACTTTGCTTTACCAGTTAGCTTATTTCGACACATGCACTGGCTTGAGTCAAAAATGAGAGAATCTAAACCGTTGTTAAAATAAGTTCAATCTTAGGTTCTGCTCTTCTGCATATCTCGGAAAAAATTTTGTGTCACACGGCAACCTTCTGCCGGTCATTACGTACAGTAGAGTCTGGCCAATCATTGCTAAATTTACATATAGATACAGTAAGTTTTAGTTTAAATGCTATGTGTTAGTACTTGGTCAATCCGATTTCAGTCTGAACTCTGCTTGTCAAAAAACCCGTTTCCATCATACTTGTTCGAGTTGGTACAATAAAAGAGGTTATTCTTTTCAACGCATAGAAAAATGGTTGATGAGAAAAAAGTAAAATTAGTTTGTGCATAATAGATGCTGCACTGCAGGTTTAGAGAGTTCCGAAATGAAAGAGAAGTTCCCGATTACGACAATTTACCACAATATGTCAAACAAGATTCTATCGCTACAATACTTGCCAAAAGCGCCGCCCGAAACACCGCGGGTCTGTGGTGCAGAGCGAAGAAAGTGGATAGAACAGATCAATCCCTACTCGATACGGTTTTAGCATCATGCCGAATTTCGAGAGATCTTGATTGAGATAGAGTGGAGACAGTTTGACGGCAAGAGGTGCGCGTAGTGCAGCCGCAATGCACCCGCGCGAGCCGGCGTCCTCAGCTGACACAGATTTAAGGTTTTTATCGTTTTATGCCTGTTTCTCATTCTCTTATGGATGATTAGGAGCTATGTATGACTATTATCTGTAGGCATAGTATAGCTGGAAAGCCCTCTCGCGCGTGATAGTGTAACTGCACCACGCGGCTCTGTTGCCGTTAGCCGCATAATAAGTACCCTGATGCTAACGCATTTGATAATCAAGTCTGAAATTGTGCTCCAATAACACGAGTAGTATCCTAGATCCTTTTGTTAAGCTAACGCGAATGCGTAAGGCAAATTCTGGGCAATGGCACTGCAAGCCTCTCCAAAAAAGAGTAACACAGGCGTTCCTGAGTATGGCAGTTCTTTCACAATCTCTACAAAATATTGAACATTCGATTAGCACTCATAGCCATCAACAACCGCACGCATCTTGATAGCGATTGTTAGGAAAAGGTTCTGGCAACCATAGGTATTTCACGCATACGTAGAGTTATGAACATATCCAAGAATTAGCTCTGCTAGTTAAAGTTTCCGGAAATGCATTTGTGGCAGGCTTCAGTGTAGAGAGTGTGTGATAATTTCAGCGCGCAACCGTTTCTGCACAGTGATTACATTCTGATTTGGTGCTCAAAGGTAATGTTCAAGCACATGTGTGGCCATTATACTTCGAAATATCGGAATTTTTTTTTTCGAATGACTGACTAAATGAATTACGAAAATCAAAAGTACAGTAGTTGATTTTCGGTCAAGTACTCAAATACGCATATTTTCCAAAATCAAAAATGTCATATGATCGGTTACTGAATATGCAAAATAAAAAATGTCGTTTGATCGAATGTCGAATACTTCCCAAATGAAGAAATTTGGACTTATCGAATGCGATTGAATGGAAAATTTCAAACAACTATGTCAAATATTCGAACAGAAATTAGTTGACTTGGTCTGAAGGACTTCGTGTGATATGAAATTTGTAACTGAGGAATGATATCTTCTGAAATAACGGTCAAAATGTGATGCTTATTATTGAACAAATTGGCAAAGTGATTCTGCGCTGTACATACATCCATCTCAATGGAATTCTCCATTTTGATTCTCTCCCATTGGCAAAGGGTGCATGCATTAACATCTCCAGTGTACTTTAAACCATACTAGCTGGCTTACCCGGCTCCGCCGTATCCGGACCAAACTTGGCACACATACACTTCGGGCCCCGGTGGGTGTCACAGTCCACTTTTCGTTATCGATCGATGTCGATTCTACCGATTTTTATCGATTTTTTTGCAGAGTTCACCTACAGGGCTAGGAGTTGGCACAGGGGGGGGGGGGGGGGAAGTGAGCATGGGGATTCCGAATACAGTATTAGTTTTCAGAATTATCGATTACTTTTATTGATTTTATCGATTTTTTGTAAATTTTGACATGCGAGGCTGGGATTTTGCACAGGGGGTAATCGAGCATGCTGATTACGAACACAATATTAGTTTTCAGGATCGTCCATTACTTTTATCGATTTTATCGATTTTTTTTGTAAAGTTTGACCTGCGGGGCTGGGAGTTTGCACAGGGGGGGGGGGGGTAATCGAGCATGCAGATTACGAATACAATATTAGTTTTCAAGATCGTCCATTACTTTTATCGAGTTTATCGATTTTTTTGCAAAGTTTGAGCTAGGGGGCTGGGAGTTGGCACAGGGGGGTAATCGAGCATGCTGATCATCCCCAAGGGGGGTAAAAGTAATCGATAAAAGTAATCGATAATCCTGAAAACCAATATTGTATTCGGAATCCCCATGCTCGATTACCCCCCTGTGCGAACTCCCAGCCCCGTAGCTCAAACTTTGCAAAAAAATCGATAAAATCGATAAAAGTAATCGATAATCCTGAAAACCAATATTGTATTCGGAATCCCCATGCTCACTTCCCCCCTGTGCCAACTCCCAGCCCCGTAGGTGAACTCAGCAAAAAAATCGATAAAAATCGATAAAATCGATATCGATCGATGACGAAAAGTAGCCTATGACACCCGCCGGGGCCCGTAGTGTATGTGTGCCAAGTTTGGTCCGGATCGGTTCAGAAATGGAATTTTCTATTCGGAACATACGTACAGACAGACAGACAGACATACAAACAGACATTCAGCTTTATATATAAGATAGAATAATTTTCTGATTATTAAGATAATTTAATGCAAATAACTGGAAAATTCGAATTCGGAAAAAATCTGAAATTTTGAATAAAATTCGAAGTCGACATTTGAGAACTTTCATTTTTGAGGTAGTATCCAGAAGTTTTCATATATTCATGGTCATTAATCTAATCATCCCATAATCGTCAATTATTTGAATATTCGATGAATATCAAATATTCGAAAATTGATATTTATAGCATATACTAGTGACCCACGCGACCTTGTGTGTTAGATGCCGGGGAGCGTGGTAGATTCAAATCGTCTGCATCTCACAATCAGTCAAAGCATCTAATTTTGACGACGTGCTCCTCAGTTATTGATGCAAACGTGGTCACTATATATGCACACGTTGGGTTGAGCCAGACTTGACAGCGTCCGCAAACGCCGTGCAGATTTATCCAAGCTTTCCCATGCTAAAATCCATCCTCTCCCCACGGTTCTTCTGGTAGGGGTCTTAGAGTTCTAGTGCCCTATTTTCAGGTGTATAAGCCGCATTCTTTCTGCTCTAAACGCGAGCAGACCCAGGCGTGCCGCTGCGCATGTGCCTCGAGAAGCGGTCGCTTTCTCGCACATTGCTCTCACTTAATGTGCCCCATCATAGCAGGCAGTCTTTTGACGTGTGCGTCTTTAGAGTGAAAAGGGTTCGGCTTATACTGCATTCTTTCGCAAAACTGACCTAATCAAAATGCTTAATTTACACCGCCACAACTTTCTGGAGCCTCGAATATCTTTCTCTCATGGTTGTATTTCAAAGTGCACACTGTTCCGCCCAGAAGGTTAGCCTTGGCAACTGCTTCTTCCCGAAGTGGCTCCTCCCCTCCCCCCACATCTCTATACTATTATCAACTCCAGCGTCGGGCAGATCTTGACAACACTTTCTTAGTATAATGCGATAATGTTTGCATTAACGATTTACAGCTCACAATGCTCCGCCCTTTATCTCTGGAGGCAATGACACCTCAGCATTACCAAGTCAAAGTTCCGAAGTCCTTCTCTAGGTTTCCTATCAGATGCCCAAAATGGGTGTATGTTTTGAAGGCCCACATTTGGGCGGTCGCCATTGCCAGGCTGGGCTGTACTGCATGGAAGTAGAGTTTTCAGACGTACGTATCATCAACATATGTCAGGAAGAGTAACAAAGTATCATGCAGCTGAAATCCAAAAGGAGCAAGGCAGACTTCTTTCTTGTGGCCTTGTTCCTCAAGAGGAGTCAGTGAGTTAGCCTGCCCACTGATTTCATTGAGTGCGGCCAGTGTTCTCCTACAAAGGAAGTTCGCTTGGTCGAAGTGACGATTCGGAAGGTGGTGTATACCCATGAATAAAGCTTGGAACGCTGATGTCAGATATACCTTCTATATCTGCGATGCGCTTTTCTGAAAAAAGTTGAGCTTTTCTTATGCTAAGTTTTCTAGTAGCAAAACCACGGTAATTCTCACACTAAAATATACAGGCTCAGGCAATGCACCTAATAAGCGCTGTAGGTCTAATCTGATTTCATCTGAAGGTTTTCAAGTGTTGTCCATTTACACTGTTATTACAAATCGTCATTTTCCCTTCTAGACCATACTTCCATTATAATATGAATAAGCCCATAACTTCCTATAGAAAAACGCAGAAAATGGATGTTATATTTGAGATCAGCGTTCTAAGCTCTATCCGTAGGTGTACATCACCTTACGAATCGCCACTTCGACCAAGCGAGCTTCCCTCGTTAATGACAGCCGATCAACACGGCCCCTTCGACTATCTGCCGCCCAAAGTCTTGTCCTACAAACCTGTACCAGTGAGGTCCTGAGTTCCATGATGCTCACTTTTCCTTCCTTACTTTATTCCTTGCTTTTGCAAAACTTTTTTGGTAAGAATCGTAAATTCGATGTAAAAACGCCGCAATTTTCTGCTCTTCAACATCCGCATACCAAAGCTTCACAACTCTTCCCCCGATGTGGCCAGATAATCACTATTCCCTCCTCCACAAGTGCCTTATTAACTGCCCCAGCGCCCAATTTCTCTCTCCCTGCTTCTATAACCCCGGACTTCCTATGTCTTGGTACGATGACTCTCGCAGGATTATTCTGGCTAGCGTGTCACATTTTCTTTCAGTGGAAATCTCTCACCCAACCGCACTAAGTTCACAAGGCACCACTTCTCTCTCCTCCCTGTTCCCTTTTCAACGTCCCCATGGCAATCCAGAAACTTTTTGACAGATTTCCCAAAGCTTCCTCTTTCAAACCTGCCAGGTAGTATTTCATTTTCACAGTATCTCTCTTTCTGGATGCCTGCTTCTACAGAGCTATGCGTGATCGCAAGTGTTTTAGTTTTGCGGCCATCACAAGCACATTGCACCTTCTCATTTATCCTACTGCTTTTGAAACGCTTTTCTGCTATCAGATGTTAGCTTCCAGTTACGTGAAAAG